CCAGAAAATGAGGTGGGACTTCCACTACTTGGGGTGGGGCTGGTGCATAATCCCCCAAGGGTTGGGGTCTTCCAGGGGAGTGGGACCCCAGAGCCGGGATCGGAGACCCTGAAATTGCAGCAGCTTGTGGAGAACATTGACAAGGCCACTACCGACCCCAACGAGTGTCTCATTTGCCACCGAGTGCTCAGCTGTCAGAGTTCCCTCAAGATGCATTACCGTACCCACACAGGGGAGAGACCGTTCCAATGCAAGATCTGTGGCCGGGCCTTCTCCACCAAAGGCAATCTGAAGACACACCTTGGGGTGCACCGGACCAACACTGCCATAAAAACGCAACACTCGTGTCCCATCTGCCAGAAGAAGTTCACCAATGCCGTCATGTTACAGCAACATATCCGGATGCACATGGGTGGCCAGATCCCTAACACGCCCCTGCCGGAGAGTCCCTGCGACTTTACAGGTCCTGAGCCCATGGCCATCAGCGAGAATGGCAGTGCCAATGCCATCTGCCAGGAAGACATGGTGGAAAGGGTTGAAGCAGATGGCATCTGTCCCCAGGATGGACCCAGTATCTCTTCAAAGGTCTCCACGTCCGTTCCCAGTACCCACCTGGTGTCACCCATTCTGGGCTTTTCTGTGATGGCTCCCCTGGACGCCCAGGGAAAGGGGGCTCCTCACCCTTTGGGCCTGCAGAGGCAGAGCAGCCGGGAAAACGGCTCTGTGGAGAGTGACAACGGCCTGACCAATGACTCGTCCTCGTTCCTGGGTGACCAGGAGTGCCAGAGCCGAAGCCCAGATACCACGGAGACCATGTGCTTCCAGGCCGTGTCCCCTGCCGGTAGCCAAGCCGAGAGCGTCAAGTCCCGGTCTCCCGAGGTGAACAAGGCTGAGGGCGTCGAGAGCGGCCGCATTGACGTGGAAGGTGATGAAGCTTTGGATGTCACTTAATGTCCCTTTGGGGCTCAAGGTCACCAGGAAAGGAGCCTGGGTTGAACTTGACAGTGTGACTTGAAGAGGTTTCTATAGGGCGATTAGCTAGTCTGTACTTCTGGGTAGAGGGACCTGGTAGGCTTTCTATTTGTTTATCATAGGTCATGCAGGCTGAGTGTGGACAGCATGGGTGTTGGTTTTCTTTGAAATTTTTTATTTATTTATTTTTTAGTTTGATCCCCTGGGTAGATGTGTTTGGGGAAGTAGGCATTGTTTGGACCATGGAAATCAAGCAGTAGTTGCTTGGAACTGAGGTCCTGCTGGAAACACAGTGCTCACATATGAAGACTATACCTTATGTTAGATGTATCAATTAGGATGTCTATTGATCCAGAATACCTCATTAGAATCACAGAAAATGCCTGGATATGGTGTGAAGGTGGTGACTTCGTTTATTGTGGTGCTGGGATTTCAACCCAGGATGTCTTTTCTCTGGGCAACAGCCCCCTAGCCTCTATCCTTTTAATTTAATTTTTTAAAGTAGGGTCTCACTATGTAGAACAGGATGCCTTCAAACTTGAGATCACCTGCCTCCTCGGCCTCTTAGGTACTGGGATTAAAGGCATGCACCACCGTATCTGGCTTTTTTTCAGGGGTTGGGTAGGACACTGGCCTGAATTGATTCTGCAGTCAAGGTGATCCTTGAACTCCACCCTCCTGCCTCTACCTCCCAGCAAAGTAGCTGAGATAAGCCCAAACCCTGACAATGGTATTTTATTCTGAGACTTGGATGTTATCTGCACACATATTCTGTTACCTGTGCTTTAAAGCATAAAAAAGGGCAAATTTTCCCAAGTATTTGAGTTTTATTTTTTTGTGTAAATAACTCAAAAGAGGTCAGGTTTGTATTAACGATCTGAGTTCAGGTCTCCATGTAAAAGGCCAGGCATGCAGGGATTCGCTTAGAACTGGTTGGAGATGAAGCTCACTGGCCAGTAGCCTAGCCCACTTACAGATACTCGAGATCCATGAGAGACCCTGTCTCAAAGACCTGATTGGTAACAGGAACAGCCAAGGCTGCCTTTGAACTTCCATACCACACTTCCATGTGAGCACAGACACACACACATACACACACACACACACACACACACACACACACACACACACACAGAATTCTAAGCGAGCTGCTATGGATTGGACTATAATTGTAAGCTACTCAGCTCACTTAGACGATGATTGCGGAGGGTTTGTTTTAGTGAGGTGGACATTAGATGATGGAGGTTTCTCTCTTTCCCCCTCTCCACATTAGGTCGTACCAGCATCCCGTCAACATTTATCCGAGCACAGCCCACCTATGTCAAAGTTGAAGTTCCCGGCGCCTTTGTGGGACCCTCTAGCTTGTCCTCAGGCATGACGCCTTTGCTAGCAGCCCAGCCACGCCGACAGGCCAAGCAACACTGCTGTACCCGGTGTGGAAAGAACTTCTCCTCTGCCAGTGCTCTCCAGATCCATGAGCGCACGCACACGGGAGAAAAGCCTTTTGTCTGCAACATATGTGGGCGAGCCTTCACCACTAAAGGCAACCTGAAGGTACGTTCTGATGATGGTGTTGATGAGCACTGATTGATTGGTGTGTGATGAAAATATCAGTGGATAGAAAATATCAGTCAGTTTATGGTGTCTTGGGCCTTTTCATCCCCCAGACGCAGAAGCAGGGGGGATTCTCTTTGAGTTGGAGGCCAACCTGGTCTACATAGCAAGTTCCAGGCCAGCTAAGGCTACACAGTAGGACCCTGTCTCAAAAAAGAATGGGACAGGGCTAGGGTGCAGTTCAGCGGTAGAGTGCTGGGTTAACAGCGGTAGAGTGTTGGGTAACATCCGCAAGCTCTGGCCTCTAGCCACAGCACCACTAAAGGGGAAAACCTATTGTAGCCCTGCCTTTACCCTAGCACTGGGAAGGCAGAGAGAGAGAGGCAAGTGTGTCTCTGAGGCTAGCCTAGTCTACACAGGGAATTCCAAGACAGCCAGGCCTACACAGATCCTGCTTAAAAACAAAAAACAGAAGAGAAAAAGAAGAACCAGGGTACAGCAACATCTCAGCCAACACGTGAAGCTTTTGTTTTGGGAGAAAAGGTAGGTGTTCCAGGCTGGCCTCATTAATGAACTTGAACTCATGACCTTGCTGGCACCTCCTGACTGCTAGTGTGACAGACTTACCACCAAACCTAGTTTTTATTTGGTCTAGTGTCTTGCTAAGGATCGAACCCAGAGTCTTATGGTTGCTAGGTAAGTTGCTAGGTAAGCTGTTTTGTGTCTCTGGAGCCTTGGCTGGTTTAAACTCATCCTCCTGACTGCACAAGTGTTTTGCCTGTGTGTGTGTGTATGTGTACCACGTCTGTGCCTTGTACTTGTGGAGGTCAGAGGAAGGTAATCAATCAGTTGATGTTTTGAGCTTCCCTGTGTGTTCTGGAGTTGAACTCGGGCCCTGTGAGGGTCACACGGGCTCCTAACTGCTCCACCGTCTTTTAGTCCCAGACTAGGATGCTTTTGACCTTGGTGAGATAAAGCACTGTGGTCAGGTGCGGTGAATCAAACCTGTAATCCCAATACTCTAGATATAGCTCAGGGCTAAAAAGCATTTACTGTTCTTGCAGAGGCCCCCAGTTCAGATCTCAGTACCTATGTGGGACGCCTCTCTCCACTTGGTGTAGGAGACACTGGTTTCATTCACGAGTGTGTTTGATCTCCTGCACTACAAGAAAAGCTTCAGTTATTGTGGAGTGTAGCTGGTCTTGAGGTACTTGCCTAGTATTCATAAAAGCCCTTGGGGTATCCCTAGCACCTTCTAAAGCAAGCTTAGTGCTTCCAGTTCTTGAGAGGTGAAGGCGTGGGGGTGGGGAGAATGAGTATCCAATGTTAGTCTCAGCTAGGAGAGCCTCTGTCTCTCTTTTTTTTTCTCCCAAGACACAGGGCTTCTCTAGCTCAGGCTGTCCTGGAACTCGCTCTGTAGACCAGGTTGTCCTTGAACTCACAGAGATCCACCTGCCTCTGCCTCCCAAGTGCTAGGATTAAAGGCGTGTGCCATCACTGCCCAGCCTAAATTACTTTCTGAGTAATATTTCCATTTGCATATCTGTGAGATTGACACGTAGTGAGAGAAGTTCATGCCTCCTTCCCCCCACAGTAGGGTTTGTAAAAGTAACAGTAATATGGGGCCGAGAGTCTCACAGTGGACAGTCCCACGAATCTCAGCTCGGACAACCTGCTTACACAGCGCTTTTCCATTTCATGGCTACTCAGTTAAGTGGGATGTTCTGGCCCAGAACAGTTTGTGAATTCATAGATGTTAACATTGGCAATAATGTCTGATGAGCAGCAGACGTTTATGTAAATGTACCCCGTGAATGGCTAGGCAGATGTGGCTGGAGAGTTTCCCTACCCTTATTAATGTTGGTAGGGTGTTGGGCATAGGGTGGCTAGACTGTTCTCTCCTCTTTCCTGATACACATTCAGACATGCTTTCAAACAGCCCAGATACCTGAATTCATTATTTTCTGGCTTATTGATACAAGGTCTCACTATGTAGCTCAGGCTGCCCCTGAACTCAAGGCGGTACTGTACTACCTCTTAAAAGCTTGTCCACCACCCCTGGTCTAATTTCTAAGAAAAAGGATATGATTGATTATGAAGGTTGGACGGTGTGCACCATTTGGAGGTGAACGAGCATATGGAGGTGGACTGAGGCTTCCGGACAGGCAGGGGACTTTATCTGATGAACCAACCCTCTTTGCTGTCCCCCACAGGTACACTACACCACACACGGGGCTAACAATAACTCCGCCCGGCGTGGCAGGAAGCTGGCCATAGAGAACACTGTGGCTGTGCTAGGAGCAGAAGGCAAGAGAGTGTCTGAGATGTTTCCCAAGGAACTCCTGTCCCCCACCGTGAGTGTCGACCCTGCCACGTGGAACCAGTACACCAGCGTCCTCAATGGGGGCCTGGCCATGAAGACCAATGAGATCTCTGTGATCCAGAGCGGAGGCATCCCCACCCTGCCAGTGTCCCTGGGGGCCAGCTCCGTGGTGAGCAACGCCACACTTGCCAAGCTTGATGGCTCTCAGTCTGCCGTGAGCGGGAACGTGGAGAAGCCTGCTACTGTTCCCGACGGTGTGGCCAAGCACCAGTTCCCCCACTTCCTGGAGGAAAACAAGATCGCAGTCAGCTAAGGCCGAAGAGGGGAGTAGCTGGAGTGAGATCTGCTTCCTTGTTTAGTTTTCTTACCGTCTTCTGCTTTTTCTCTTCCCGATATGCAAGTGATGTTTACACTTGTGACCATAGCCTTGGGCAGTCCTACGGTCTTGATTGTTGCTATGCTGCTTTCCAAAAAATCAAAATGAAACAAAGAAAAGAAAAAAAGAAAAAAAAAAAGAAAGTTGAAAAACAGAACTAAAAAAAAGGACTTAAGTTGTGGGATGGAAGCGGGTTTGAAGAGTAGCTTTGTTACTTGGGATAAACTGTATACTGGAGGCTTTGTGTGACCTCGTGGCTGTTTCCAAAGACTGCACCTGTTTCAAAGTGAAACAGTTGGGACAAATTGGACCACAGTGGAAGTGACTACTTACCTCAGTCCAGGGGTAAGGGTGCTGTGTGCTTCCATGGTGACTAATGCGGGTAAATGGACACATTTGTAGGGACCCTGTGTTCATCTTCTGTTGTTGAATGTACTTTAAGAGAAAGAAATGAAACCTCAGAAAACTAAGGTGGTCCAATTAGCTCACTTCCTCCAACCTGAGAACCTCTGTAGGATGCCCTCCCCCTCCACACACTGACCCTGGTCCCCAGGGAGCTCACCTCTTACCCTGCTGCTTATTTAAAACGGTTTGGAGTCCCAAGAGCGCCACCTGCTCCCCCCTTCTCCCACAAACCACCTTCTCCCCAGACCCTGGAGTGGCCGGGCACCAGAGAGGGGAACCTCAGGTGACTTCGTGTGGGTGGTTCTACCGTGCCCCACTGCATTGCCGAAGTTCTTCGTGTTCCTTCTTAGGGGCAAACTGACCAGGGCCAGTCTCCTCCCCGATCCACCGGGCCTTTTCTGTTGTTACTTCCGTTTCCTTATCCCGAGTCTGGGAGATTTCCACGTCACCCACCCTCTGCCATGATGAAGGTTATAACGTAGAGATAGACAAGTCTTGGGTGTGAGGGCTTTAATTTATCTACCTCATTTATTTTTATTTTTATAGCCCAAAAGTAAAAAAAAGAAGTCTATTTTGCTATTTTGTGACCGCAAAGTATTCCCAGGTCTTAAACCTAAGAGTTAATGTGGTGAGAAGGGCCAGATGTTCATTCAAGATGTCTCCATGGTTGGTTCTGGGCTTTTTTTTTATTATTATTATTATATTTTTGTACATGTAATAATTTTGAGCAGCTGTTGTAACAGTGTTCGGATGGTTTAATGAGGAAGGAGGGACTTAATCTCTCTAGCTCCTGGGTAGAAGATTTCTCCCTGCCCTGTGAAATGCCGTTGCCAAAATGAGGGCGGAGCCTCGCCCGCCAGTCTCCTGCCCACTCTTTGTTCTTGCACCTGATTTAGGATCCAAAACTTTTTTTTTTTTTTTTTTGCCAAGTTGTGCCTTTCCTTCTGGGATTGTAAGTGACCCAGTGACAAAAGTGGTCGCTGGTTCGCCTGTTCAGCTGTTTACACTGTGAAGTGGATATTGTTACAGAGAACACACCAGCCATGGCTTTTCTCACACCCTGTGAATGAATGTGTGAACTACGCTGTAGTTTTACCTGCTGATGCTGTCTGTCCGAAAATAAATTTTGAATGTTTTTTTTTTCCTCCCACCAGGCTTGTGTGTAAGTTTTTTCTGGTATGTTCTACTTGTATTAGCACTCCCCTGGTTCTTAAAGAGTCCTAAATGTATGTAGTTAGGTCCGTTCTGGATGTGTGTGTGTGTGTGTGTGTGTGTGTGTGTGTGTGTGTGTGTGTGTGGTGGGGAGCATAAAGTCAGCCTGCTGCTTGGTGTGTGAACCTCAGGGTCATTCTTCAGGTGCTGTGTCCACCTTGGGTGTAGTCATTGTGTGTGTGTGTGTGTGTGTGTGTATTCAGTCTGGTCTAGATTTATTTATTATGTATTCAGTGTTCTGCCTGCACATATCCCTGCAGGCCAAATGAGTGCACCAGTTCTCATTACAGATGATTGTGAGCCACCATGTGGTTGCTGGGAATTGAACTCGGGACCTCTGGAAGAACAACCAGTGCTCTTAACCTCTGAGCCATCTCTCCAGCCCCAAGTTTTATTTTGTTTTTGATACAGTGTCTCTAGAAGCACAGGTTGGAGAATGATCTATTGGACACCCCCCCTCCCCCGGGCATTCAGATGATAGGACTGGGAACTCTGCTTGGCAACGGAAGTGGGGTGGATGGGTGGGCCCTTGGTGTCCACGGAGCTCTTCTGTGATCTTGCGTTGTGTCCATATGTGTACAGCAACTAGGTGACACCTTTGCTTCATTCCCCTTATTTTTCCCCCTTCGAGACAGGGTTTCTGTGTAGCCTACTTCTGCCTCCCAATGGCTGAGATTAAAGGCATGCACCACCACCATCCACCTGGTCTCTTTAAAGGGCAGGGGCTTTGTCCTGGAGACTGCTCCTTTCTAAGGTCCCCTCAGCTTCCCGGGTGGTTATCCAAACAAAACCATGGGCTGTGTGTAGGAGGAGCCCTCAGTTTTACAGAAGGAAGGGGAATGGGCTGGTTTTCAGAGCTTTGCAGTCAGTCACCCAGTCTTCCCTAAAAAGAAATCACTGTAGATGGTGTGCTTTGGATTTCTCGATGATTCTAAGCAACAAAATTGACCTGTCAAAGGCCATCTTCAGTGAGGTGTGGAGGCCTTGCAAGCCTTACCTTTTATTATGAATAAGGCTGTGGGGAAAACAGCCCCTAGCATAGCAAACCACAGCAAGGATCTAAAAGTGCCTAAATCTGCATTCGAATGCTGAAATGTTTTGACCTTTTTTGGGAGAAAAATGAACTTTCAACCGATTGGACTAGTCTCTTCCTTATCTTGGGTCCCCACCCTATACAGCCCTTAGGCTAAGCAGAACTCTAAAATTGCAAGCTATCTGATATGTTGAAATGAATTTATAGACTGATACAAAACATAGCTAATATCCACAGGGCAAATGCTCAGCTGCTGGCAACATCTGCATTTCCATCACAGACCTTTATAACAAAATAGCTCAAAGCTAATTCATAGGTCACCCTGAAGGGTGGGTTAGACATCCAGTCATCTCTCAAGGTCTCCAGTGACATTCCAAAAGGCCCCTCCAAGAAGCAAGGTCTGTGTCATGTTGACTGGTATCTCATGTCTCAGTCCTGGACTGTTCGGAGCCCTTAGTGATAACCAGTGAGATGGAATCTTCTTGTTTCCCTTGCACTTCCTGAAACACTTTCTGGAAACAGCAGTATTAAATGTAAGTTTAAAGCCAGGTGTGGGCCCACACCCACAATCCTGGCACTTGGAATAGAGGAAAAAAGGATAAATGCAAGGCTAGCCTGGGCTGCATGATAGCCTTCCATCCTGCTTACAAAGTGTGGCCCTAGGAAGCTTCCAACAAGCTGGAAAGGGACTGGGTTATTAAATGTTAAACTTAGAGTGACGCTGGGTGTGTTCCAAACCTAGGATCCTAGCACTGGGATATGGAGACAGATGGATCAGAAGTTTGAGGCCAGCATGGGACTCTGTTTAAAACAGCCTGGCGGTGGTGGCCCATGCAGAAGCAGATAGATCTCTGAGCTACACAGAGACACCCTGTCTCAAAAAACAAACAAACAAACAAAGACATTGAAAAAAAAAAACCAAAAAACAAAAAACAAAAAACCAACTTTTTGTGTCTGACTCTGATTTCACTATACAGCCCAGGCTGGACCAAAAATTTTAGCAATCCTGCTTCAGCCTCCCAAGTAGGAGGCTTTCAGAAGTGAGCCCCCATGCCCATCTAAACGGTTTTCTGGTGTTTTAAGATAAAATTTGCCAGGTGTAGTGTCGTCGAATGCCTTTTATGCCAGCATGTGGGAACATGCAGATTTCAGTTCCAGGAAAAACTGGTCTACAGAGCGAGTTCCAGGATAGCTAGGGAGAGAGAGAGAGAGAGAGAGAGAGAGAGAGAGAGAGAGATGCTCTCGATGTAGTCCTGGAACGCACAGAGATCTGCCTGTGTTTGCTTCCTACATCTGGGATCAAAGACAAGCACCATCAAGCCTAGCCCAAAACATTTTTAAAAGTTGCACTTATTGTGTGCGAGTATTTGAGGGTGTGTGTGAGCCACTTGTGTGTGTGGAGGTCAGAGGAAAGTCATGGCAGCTGATTCTCCTACTGTGTAGATCCTGGAGATTGAATTCAGGTCCTCAGGCTGGGTGGCAGACCCCTTTACCTGCTGAGCCAGCTCACCAGCCTTCGTTTCTGTATTTGTGTATGTGTGCGCTCACACGTCCCTCATGCATGGGGTGACTTGTGGGGTCAGTTCTCTCCGGTCCACCTTTATGTGGGCTTGGGACCCGGATGGCTGCTCTGGTGTAACCAGTGCCTTTGCCAGCTGAGCCATCTCACCAGCCCAAAGACTTGATGGCCTCTGCTTCCCAGGCTTCCTGGCTCCTTCATCTTACCTGTGCCCAGGCTCCTGATTGCCCACACTCCTTACAGAGATGTAAGCAGCCCACAGCTCAGCTTCCACTGGGAACTTGAGGCTCTGTGGCCTGAACCAAGAGACTCAGGTATAGTCTGGTCCATACCTGCTGCCATCCATGGAAGGTGTCATGTGAACCCCTTGGGCTGGTGTTTCTGGTTTCGGGAAAGCAGGATCTGGCCTAGATTGCCTTATTCAGAGATCTTTCTGGGAAACCTGGGTCAAGGGCCTCCTGCACCCAAGTCCTATTGAATGGAGAGGGCTGTCATGGATCCCTAAAAGGGCTGTGGTGAGAAGGAAGAGCTGGGCCAAGAAGAACGCCCTGTGCTCCTGAAGTGGACCCCAGTACAAGCTACCTACCATCCTGGGTCTGTGCTCTGCCTCTCCCTTAGGCTTGGGCCCATTCAGTACATATGAGAACATATGAAAAGGCTCTTGGGGGATGGGGCTGTAGTTGAGTTGGTAGGGTGCTGGTCTAGTGTGTAGGGAACCAGGGGTGCATCCGTGGTATGCATAAACTAGGCCTGGTGGCACACACCTGTAAGCCCAGTTAGAAGTAGAAGGGTCAGAAGCTCAAGATTGTCCTTAGCTACATCAAGAGTTCGAGACCTGTCTCACAAAAAAAAAATACTGCCTCAAAAAAAAAAAAAAAAGACCCTTGATGTCAATCCTGTATCTATGAGAATAAATGATAGTTAGGTTTTATATTATACTGCCTGGAGGACCTCGTGGTTTTCTCTTGTCACGGAAGCATGTGCTCTCTTATGAGCTAGAAGTCTTTTTGTTGTTATGAGGGTTGTTTTTTGAGAGGGGGTCTCCCCATGTAACCAAGGATAGCCTCCAGCTCACTGCAAACCTCCTGAGTGGGGCTGTGTCCCTACACCACTAGGACCAGTTAATACAATCTTTACATGTCTTTCTCCGTGACGGATTATCTTACTGGAAAGAAGCTTTTAAAAAAAAAGTGTGGGTGTAGACCAGGCTGGGGTGGCGCACTCCTTTAATCCCAGCAGAATCAGGTGGATCTCTGTGAGTTC